TTCCAGTCATCATAAGGTGACTGAGAGAGATGAGCCGGAGAGGAAAAAAATTGTCAAGCATTTACAGTAAATACTCCCTGCTTTTGGAAACGCTGTCAGAAGTTTAATTGTTGGGTTCAAGCGAGTTTGTCACGCCAGACAGAAGCAGTCTGCTGCGAGGAGCGGGTCGTGCCCTCCCACCAGGCAAAAGGGAGAGTGAGAAGTGGGGCTTTGCAGGGCTGCGTCACCTGGTGCTGCAGAAGGGATGGGGCAGGCGGCTGAACCCAGCCTGTAATGAGGTTCTGCACGGCGTGCATGGCTGCGCTTGCTTTGCCAAAGCTCTTCAGTATGATGGATGAGATTTAAAGGTTGATCTGCCTAAATTGCAATGAGAATACTAACGACTGAGATATTTCTGTTGTGAGCTATTCCTACCAGACATCACAGCCGTGACAGAAATGGTGTAAGATAATGGACAATAAAAGTCACTCGGAAATAATACTCTCTCAGGACTGGGCTGCCTTCAGTACAGCACGTACCCTGAACTGCAGCGATAATGTAATCATGAGCCAAGATCATCATTTAAATATATAGGTAATCTCATACAGCATCCTGACAGATTTATTTTATGAGCAGGCAAGAGAGAGAATGTTATTGGGCAGTGGAGAGGAGGAAGCGCTGCTGGTGCGACTGTGCTGGTGGGACAGCAAACCCTGCAGCTCTGCCCCCAGGGACCCGGAACCCACAGCCAGGCCTGCCCTGCAGCGTGGGCCCTGCCTTCCTGCCCCTGTGGGGGTCGGGGCAGCAGCCTCTGAGCTGTGGTTTAATGCCCACGGGTGGCTGGGATGATGCGAGGACGTGTGTCTGATTGTGCTTTACACTGGGTACTCAGATAGAGCTGTGTGGGGACTGGGAGAGGGAGGTGTGGGGGAGCAGCTGAGTGGAAAAGCACGTACATACGTACATAGCTGTGTACATCTGTCATGATACTGGGGGGTGTTGTAGCAGGTCGGAGGTGCACACAGCCCCGGGACATCCCAAGAAGGGTGCAGATCTGTTGGGAGAAGCAAAGCAGCTCTCAGTGAGCTCAGGTACATTTTCTCGAAGATGAATTTGTTGCAAGTTGGGTTCTGGTCCAGCTGGGAGCCTTTCTCTTCCTTCCGTTGTTGTCAGAAGCTGTTTTCTCCCAGTGCTTCAGGTGCAGACTGACTGTCCCCACCATTGACATCTCTGCAAATATTGACACAGGCCGCACATTCAGCAGCGTAGGATCTGCCCCTTTGTGGTCACAATGTGTTGCACAGCTAGTGCCAGTATTTCAGCAGCGGGGAATTCTGGTGTGTTTTGTGTTGACAAGAGTTCCCTCTGATTTTGGTACTGTTGTGTTGGCAAAAAAGGAAGCATTCCCGCTTCTGGAAAGGATCTTGTCATTGAAGAAATAAACTGGATCACATGAAACCCAGAGCTGAGGTATAAACAATTATTTTCCTCAAGAGAAGAGGCTGCTAAAATCTCGCTGTTCCTTTTTTAACCTCCTTCCAACCTTTCAAAGAATAACAGGGACACCTCATCACCAGCCAATAGCAGCCTGGGTTGCAGTGTTGTTGCATGCTGTCTCCTGGCTGAGCATCACGTGGGTCTGCAGGTAACCGCTCACAGGTGGGACCTGTGCGCTCCCTGGGCCTTGTGCTTTCCTTGGGGAAGTCATCCAGCTCCATGGCTTTTGGTGTGCTGTGCCTCCTTCAAGTACTTGTATGAGTTGCAAGGAAATGTGTCGTGCTAATTGTTGGAATCCACGGGGTAACTTAATGCACAGGTTGTGTGACATGGCTCTCCAAAAGGATTGTGCCGTGTGCTGCATGCACCTCTTTGGACGTCACAAAGGGCCCTGCGGTGCCGACCTCGCGAGGATCCCAGCCACCTCCACATGCTGCCAGCTGCCCAGAATAGCCGGGCTGCTGCTCGGGAGGACACGCTGTCCCGTAGGTGTCAGCGGGCTGCTGTCATGTGAGCTGTGTGTATCTCTTTTCAGAGCTGATATTTGGTTCTTACTGCTTCCTTTGCTTCCAGCTGCAGCGCCTTAAACAAACAGCGATCAAACCCAGACTCTCCAGCTGATGAATTTGTGCTGCCCTGAGATGCTGACTGCCTTTCCTTGGCTCAGCCCTCGCAGTGACACTGTCTGGAGTTTCCTGTGGCAGCCGGAAAGTTTGGGGTCCCCAGGAACGCCCCGGATGTGTGTCAGATCAGGTGGTGGTTCCTCACATTCAGAAGTGTCCACCTGCACTCTTTGAGCTCCAGTCCCATCCTGAGGCAGGACACAGATCCCATGTTGGGTCAGTGTGAGGCTGCGGATGCTTCCTGGCACGGCATGGACGTGCGTTTTGGTTTTGAGACTGCAAATTCCTGAATCCCTTTAGAGATGGGTGATGAGAAGGGCAGCTGCCCGAGCTCCAGGTGCGCTGCAGCATTCTCTGCCTACAGCCTCAGATGACAAAGAGCTGCATGTTGCATTCTGCCTTTAAGGAAATGACATTTCTTAAAATAACTAATAATAAAATAATTAAGATAGTTCTGGCAGTGTAACAGAGAGTAGCAGTTTCATAGGACATTTTAATGTTGATATTGAGACGCGTTTTTCATTTTTAAGTATTCACCTTTGCTGCTAATAAATCATCAGATACCTGAAACTAAACGAAAACTAAAATTGGACTTTGTTGTGCTGATAGCGGCCATCCTGCTTGCAGCAGAGCTGCAGAGCACTGCCTTGAGAAGCGCTCTTCCCCGAGGCAGCAGCTGTCCCTGCGGCCGTGTGCGTCTGTTTGCTGCAGCTCACAGGAGCTGCTGCTGGCCGGGTCTGGCACGGCTACTTCAGGCACTGCTGACAACTGTGAGAAGAGCTGAGCCTGACTTGCTGCAGAAATTCTTCTGCATCGTATTTTCTCTCTCCCCGTTCACCCCCCTCCCCCAAATATTTAAAATACCTTTGCATTTTAAATTAAGAATTAGTCATTGCTCAGATGCCAGGCGTGCACTATTAATACACTAATGAGATCAGGTTGTGCTCTTGCTGAGTGAATGCTTGCCAAAACTCTTCAAACAAAGTTCTGAAAATGCTGGAGCTGCTGTTAAACATTGCCTTGTCAGTGCTAGGGACAGCAGCAATGCAGCTCTAAAATGGATCTCCCCCAGAACGTGTGTGGATGATGAATATTTAGCTAGGAATAGCATTCCTTAGTCACACAGAAAATCTAGAGCATCCTATTGGATGGGAAAGGAGATCAGCGTGGTTACTGTGCATGTGCTGTATATGTGGGGAGTGCATTTCTTGGCTGCGTTGCTCCCAGGCCAGGTCCTCTCACTGCTGCAGGAGCAGCACAGTGCACACTGAAAGTGCCCCTACATAGCGGGGAGCCCAGCCAGGCTGCGTCCCGGGGTGGCCTTGGGTTGGGTGGCACCGAAGGCTTTGTTCTCTGAAGCAGCACTGCCCATTGAGGTCACAGTGCCACGTGGCATCAAAACCTGCAGCTGCGCTGGAGCTGGTTGTGGCATCCTTCTTGAACCTCCCATCCAAGCGCTTGTCTCTTCCTGTTACCTGCAGGCTTCTGCTCTCTTTTATAACACAGCTCAAAATACACGCAGTGTTGTCTTGCTGAGGAATAACTTGCTCTGATGGAGGTGCAGGATGTGATGCCGGGGGGTTTGTGTGAGGTGCTGGATTTCACAGCTCTCTGCTGTGCTGTGTGCAGCATGAATGAGGTTACGTTTCAATTTGTGTCGTGACTCTGAACTCCACAAATGAGATCTTTGTGCTTAAAATGGAGAGATTGCTGGATTGGTCTCCATCAGGTATGAAGGGTGATGTCAGAGTGAAGTTGGTGAAACTGTTTTTTTGCCGAGATGCCTCCTCACTGTTGATGAGCTTACTTTAAGTTCTCCACCTGATAGTTTTGGGGGATTCTTTTCTCCCTGCTGTGGCCTTTTGCTGGGTAATGTGTCTGTAATGCAGAGCAGAGGCTCCAGTTCCCGTGTCCTCAGCAGTGGCCTTCTCACGCTTTCAGATGTGTGTTCATGGAGCGTGCACTTGTGCTTGAGCACTGTCTGGCTCTGAGTAGCACTTGAGCATTGTTTTGCTCTTCCAAATGATTTGAGGTATGTCATCTCCCATATCTCTCTGTTGAGTCTATAACAAAATAGATAGTAACTATGATTCCTGGCTTACCAAGTGCATGAGAATCGTAAGGGAAGTTTTGGTTATTCTGTGTTTGAACGTATTACCATCTCTGGAAGAACACACAGAAATTCATGTTGAATGTAAGATACAAAGTATTGCAGGACACTAGAAGATACAGATCCTAAAACAGCACTTAACAAACGTGATGTAGGGGGGAGCTTGCCTTCTCCTTGCCCTATGCATACCTCATTGATTGTGCATGCCTCAGATTTTCAAAGAGCTTTAAATGCCTTAGAAGTAAGCAATGTATGTCTGTTTGGAAATTTTCCGGGGCTGGGTACCACTGTGCTTCAGCACAGGGAATGTTCTGCTGGCTTATAGCTTGCTCTGCTGGTTTGCAAGGACTGCTCTGGTGCTCCAGAACCAGCTGGAAGCTGGCACACTGCATCCACTGTGAGTTCCTGATGCCTAGCAAAGGTGTCCGCAGAAGTGACACTCACTGCTGTTAGATTTCATATTTAAGTCTTTTGTGGTGTACCAGAGAGTGAATAAACTGCTGTATTTCTTATTATGAAGTTACACCCATAGTGTTTGTGATGAGGCTGTTCTTGCCCTGCACCCTCAGGAGCACTGGCACAGCTTGCCCTGGTGCTGTGCTCCCTCCTGTCCGCTTGCATGCAGACGTGCTTGCGCTCGGGTTCGTCCTCTCCTGGCAGCTGCTGCTCAGGGGCAGTTGGCTCTGCTTTGCTCTGGGTTGGGGAATTACACGCATTAGAGGAGGGAGGCAGGGGATGGACAGTGTCCCAGTGCACATTCCTGGTGTGCTGATGGCTCTCTCTGCTCACAGCCCGCAGGTCCAGCAGCGCTTGGCATGTGGGCATGGAGGGGCAGCACGAGCACCCGCAGCACCTGGGGGACCAGACCAGTGCGCTCTGCAAGCTGCCAGGCCAGGACTTCCAGCACGACCCGCAGGTGAGCACAGCCAGCCCTCGCCTTCCCTTCTCTGCCCTTTGTGCCCTTCTCTGCTCAGGACCTCTGTGGTTCTGAGCGCTGTGGCTCTTTTCCCCTTCTCTGTTTATAGGCCAGGCATATCCAGTTTGAAATGCTGCCAGCCAGCCAGTTTCCTGAATCCGATTTTTGATGATGATAAGAGAAAAAGGAAACACTTTAAATTTTGCTTACAGCAAGTATTTTTAAAACAGCCTGTAAATACATGTATTGCGTTGGCTTTCTCTCTGATTCTTTAAAGAAAAGGACAAAGAAAAGCATGTTTGAATGTAAACAAATAATATTTTATTTCCTTGCATACTTTCATAATAAATGCTGAAGAAGTAGTTACAAAATACCAGACAGAGTTCATTCTGTGTGAAGCTGTAGGCTCTGTGTCTCTGTATTGAGTTTTTGGGAGGTTTCTACCCCAATGTTTTGGGTGGATTCTGTTCCCACCCTGCCTGGCAGTGGTTCCCCTGCTCTCCCCTCCCTTCCTGCAGCACTGGGGCAGAGAGCCGCAACCTGTATCCAGCAGTGAGGCTTTTCGTGGGATCACGAGGTCTGTATTTTCTGCATTTTTTTAGACCACAAAGCTATTTTTTAGAGCAGAGTAGTTAGAAAGCAGAAGCTGATAGCAGAGCCTTGGAGCTGTGGTGTGGGGCCGTGCTGAGGAGGGCACGTGGATGCTGCTTGGGCGCTCTGGCCGTGCAGCCAGCAGTGCTGGTGGCTCCTGGGGCAAGGAAGGGTTGTTCAGAAAGCTGTGTCTGTGCCCAGCAAAGGATTTGCAATGACGATGAGTTGCCTGCACGTACAGCGTGGCAGTGAATGCGTCTTACGCAGCACTGCTTGGAAAATACATCGTATGGAGCAAAGCCCCCCTCTCCTAATGTAGCAATTTGTCATATTAAGTCACTTAATAATAATTGAATCCCCTTGATTAATCTCCTAGAATTAGCCAGTTGCATTTTGAGCAATTAGGGTTAATTACTGCCTCATTTGGCAGGATAGAGCCCCTGTAATTATTTCATGAACAAGATTAGGAAGTGTTCCTGTGTAGCAGATACGTTCATGGCATCTTGGAGCACATGTTAGAATTTGTAATGACATAGTTAAATGTAATTAGTAGCTAGTAATCTGCGTGCTGCTGTTGTGCTGATGCTGAGTGGGCTCATTTTGCTGCGTGGTCTCCATGCAGTGAAACCTCCCCTCAAGGCACTGAGCAGCCAGGCTGTGGTGGTGGGACTCTTGCAGTAAATTGTCTGCCTGGAGAAGGATTAGGACTTTAGGGAGACATGCTTAGATGTTTTTGTTTGTTTTAAAAGAAGCAGTAAGCGTGGTTTAGAAACGAGCACACGTTGTCATGCTCACAGGGCAGGCCCCTCTGCTGATGGCATAAGATGGATGGCCTGTCATGTGCCGTCCAGCAGCAGAGGCTCTTTGGTTTTTCCAATTGCTTTGCTTATTTCCACGTTAGTATGAATTTCTCTCTTTCCTTGTCATGAACTACTACAAATAGCTGTCGATAGAGATGGTAAAAGTTTGAAATTCAAGCCAAGTTCGTCAGCAAACTTTAACTTGTAGGTAACATTTCAGGTGAAGGATACCTCATGCTGTAGTGCAGTCTGGTTTTGAAGCCACGGAATGCAAAATCTGATGTATTCTTCAGTAATTACTTGACTGCCTGCTTGAAGGATAATCCATATTTTAGAAGTTTCCTCATCTCTTGTGAGCTCAGAAGTTCTTTTTTTTAATCAATCTGCTCTAAAGTGTTCTCATAAATTCACACTGGAATTTCAACCTCAAAGTATACGAAATTCTTTTCAGGTAAGCGTTGCTGAGTGGATCTGGGGGTACAATTTGGGGCATCGTAAAGAGGCTCTGAAATGCTGATGCTGATAGTAAATCATTGCCTATAATGTATGTGTGTTCAGCTGTAGGGGCTAAAGCTTCTCCATCTCCTATCACAGATGTCTTTTAAAGGTGAAATTAGTTTACGGTAAATGTCATTCAGATGAAGTATGCACTTTAGAAGCAAGGAAACAGTTGCTTTAAAATTAATGATGCATTGCAAATATCAGAAAAAAAACTTATATCCAGCGTAAAGATAATTAAAATTCAGGTCAGAACTATATGACTTCGTCAGGCTAAATTTTTTAATGAGATTTCAGAAAATTAATTGGGCGAGTATGTTTTTTACTCTTCTAAAGAGTATTTCATTGCATGTCTCTACAGGAAAGAAGCTTTTATTAGTATCGAAAGGCAGTAGTGTCTGACTTTTAACTGTTGATTAACCAGTCCTTAACAATTTTTTAGCTTGATTAAAATAATGTAGGGCTGGTGCACCTCGTAGCACCTGTGCAGACTGCTGAGCAGTTTTCCACACGGCAGTCAGAATGCAGCACAACAACTGAACGTATCATTAATTGGTGTTAATGCGTGGCATTTACTCAAGCACGGGGCAGTGGCCGTTCCCACGTACTTCTGGGCTGGTGTTCTCTTCCACCCCTCCAGGAGCAGCAGTTCCACAGGTGCTGCTCTGCAGCATGCTGACATTCTGCTGACTTTGTCTTGGTTCCATCTCACCTCTTGCTGTGCTTTGCTGCTGGTGGCTGCAGGGAGGGCTGCTGGGAAGGCTCTCAGGACTGCTCTGATTTCCCCCAGTGTTCAAATAACAACAGAGAGGTAAATTCATTGGTCTCACGTTCACAAGAGCAGAGGGGCTGCAGCTCTGCTCTGTTCTCTATGTCTTTGAGTGAGGAGAGCCAGGTAAGTCTCCGAGCATCGCTGCGTATCGGTACTTCTCTTGGAAGGGAAGCAAAGCCTCTCACCAGGGAAAACAGCCCAGGAGGTTGGCTGGTGTCACTGCAACAGGCAGCCCTGAGAATCTGAAAGCAGGAGAAGAAACTGCGTCCTATCAAAGAAAAGCACGTTGAGAGTAAGGATTGTTTCTTTCTTTTGATGCTGTTCTCTGCAGTTGCCTGTGTGTCTTCATAATCTGGTAGGTAGGGACTCCCATTTGCCTTTCATTCATTTCTTGCCACTTTGGTATGTCTTTTTGGGGGTGTGCAAGATAAAATGGCTGAAGTCTTTATTGCATTGTTTTGTTTTTTTCTGTTACCAAGCCTTACTGATGCTGCTTTGCAGAAAAAAACTTGGAGGCTGGAAGTTGAGGCAGACGTCGCCCTGAAGTGTTTGCAGAGGGCTGTCGCCCCATAACTTCTGGGGGCTTCAAAACTCTTGCTTTTGCATCATTGATTACATGCAAAAGAGAGCGTGTACGCTGGAGATGTAGTCCAGAATAGCTTGTTCTTGGAGTGATCTCTGCATTTTTTCTGAAAAATGAATAGCCTCTTTATTTAAATGAGGAATTAATTGACTCTAATCTTTGGCTTTTTTTTTTTTTTTAATGGAGTTCTAGAGAAATGAGACTTCATTGTGTGGATAAAGAGAACAGCCTTTGTCTCAGAATGTGCTCTTCCCAGCCTGTCCCCTTCCTCCAGCTGCCCCAACAGGAACATGCAAACAGCCACGTTTCTCAATGTCTTTACAGTTCTGGGGCTTTGCTTTTCAGGGTTTTTCCTTTTTTTTCTTTTCCTTTTTTTTCTTTTGAGCTCTATCATCAACCTCGATGGCTCGTGGTCCTCCACTATTCAGACAGACATGAACACCTCCCTGAGCCTGAATTTGTCTGAAAATGAGAAAATCTAGCTTTGACAGAGAGGTCTGGAGACAATGGTGTTATCCAATTGTACATCCAGTTTGTGGATGGAACCTCTTAGATTTGCAGAAGTAAAGGTCGGGATTTATTTGAGCAAGGAGGTGTTGGTTCTTTGACTGGGGCTCTTTATAGAAAGCTGTAGTGGTTCAGCCTGGGGGAAATAGTGAGACCCCTCTGTCAGAAGTCATGACAGAAGTGCGGTGTGTTTAAGGCCAGATTCGGGGGCGAAGCTCTGAGGCGGTCGGTGTTTCTCAGGTGTGCTGGATGTGTAACACAATGCGTGTTACCTGCTTAGATCAAAGTGCAGAAAGCACAGGAGTTGAGATAGCCATGGGAAAGCGGCGCCGCCCTGGGCCGGAGGGAGCTCTGCTGCAGCCTGGCCGACCCGAGCATGCTCTCTGCTTTGTGCTGCGATCAAACATCTTCCAGCCTGGATGAGAGCTCCATTATTTTAATTAGGTCTGATAGGTTGTGATAGCGAATGCAAATCTAGGTCATTGCATATGTAAATGTGCAGCTGTAGTCCTGGAGGATGCCAGAACATATCAGCTGAGGTGTCCAGTCGTCACCCAGCATTAACTCCAGCGTGGCAAGCAGACTTCAGCTGTTCACCATGGCAAGTGGTGGGGACACACACATCCTGTCACTTGACTAGCATTTATTTACATTTTCAAGTTAAGGAGTTGCTAGATATTTCTTGGCACATGCTTATAATACTAATTTGCACTTAGGCACTGTAGATGTAAACACTCAATTTAGTGAAAGGCAAACAGGTACCATCCCTGATCCTAGTATGAATTTCTTTCATAAGAGAAAATTTTGTTGTAGCTGCTTCATAAAGTCTCATTAGAAGTGTTATCCTTATTCCTCCCAGGCAGGAATCTCCAACTTTCACAGTACTCGAGGGGAGCTGTGTGGAGGCTGAGGGGCAGTGGAGCTGTGCAGGGCACGGGGGGCTGAGCTGTGTCTGGGGAGGGGAGCCCTGAACAGTTCCAATGAGATGCTGGAATGAGCTGCTCATTTCTGTGCGAGCAGCCTTGATGCATAACTGCAAAGTAAGCTCTTATTGTACTGTCCTCTGCCTGGAGAAACGAAAACCATTTCTCATGGTATCAAAGTACTGAAATGCTCGTCGTGTTAGATGGAAAAATGTACCTGTGGCATTGGTGTTTCAGAAGGAATTACTCAGAGTGTCATTTCATGTGAAGAGGAGTGGTTTTGCTCTTTTAAGGGAGTTAAACTGAGAAAGCTGCTGCTGATGGCCTGGAGATAAATATCCAATTATGTGCCTGCTTTAATTAGCAGGCATTGCATGGACATTAGGGTAGTGTGTTATTGTGTTCTCTGGAGCCCTAAGTCTGGTACAAGGAATGCATCCTGTAAGGCATCCTTACGCTGGTTGTGCAGCACTGGTAGAAGTTGCTGGGCTGGCAGCTGTACCTGCGCTGGTTCTGTTCCCACCTGCACCCCTCTGGGCTGCGGATGGCTCTGCCTGGGTGTGGGGCTGGCTGCTGAAGATGTGACTTGTTTTAAATCCAACAGAGACATTTAACGTCGTACCCGTATCGCTGCACACTGGCAGACTTTCAGATAGAGAAGAAGATCGGGCGAGGACAGTTCAGTGAAGTTTACAAAGCAACTTGTCTTCTGGACAGAAAACCTGTGGCGTTAAAGAAAGTTCAGGTGAGCACTGGAATTCAGTCTTTCTGTGTAGTGAACAGAATGGCGCTGTTTCTCCCACTGCTTGGAACGTTGCCTACAGCTTCTAAGGTTAGTTTACCTTATTGTTAGCCCTTTGGTGGCTTCAAAATAAAGAAAACATTCATCTTTGGTCTGTGGGCTGCATGTGTGTATGCTCATTGCAGTAGATGCTGTACAAAGGCAGGAAGCAAAGACCAGTTCCTTGTTGAATAAGTTCTTGGATTTTGTCACCATCTCACTTTGATCTTCTGCTATTTTGTCTTTGAAGATTTTTGAAATGATGGATGCCAAGGCTCGGCAAGATTGCATTAAAGAGATTGACCTCTTGAAGGTAAGAATTTTATTTTTCGATTTGTTTTGAGGAAAAACACCAGCTGATGACATTTTTTGTTGTTTGTTTGCACAATATCTTGGAGAAGACCAGACAACGTTCCAAAAAATTTGTTTAGTTAGGGTGAAGGGGAAGTGCAGGGATATTTACTGACAGTCTGCATACGTCGTAGTATCTTGTTTAATATGCAAATCATTACTGTGCAGGTTGTTTAATTATTTTCTGTTGTTGAAGGGAAATGAATCTTCATAGCTATCGCCACTCAGACCTAAGCATTGTTAGAGGTTGTGTGGGGTAAACCAGAGGCTGGAATGCAGGAAGAGAGAAGTGCCAGCATGGCAGGAGGGGCGCAGGCTGCCGTCGCTGTCACTGCTGTGGTGGTTTGATGTGCTCTGTTGGCTCGTGGTGCTGAGGGCTCTAGCTAGCTTTGTTGGATTGCATGAACTCCGTGATGCCTCCAGGAGCTCAGCAGAGTTTTCCCATCAAAAAGTCCTACAGAAGGCAGAAAGGAGCTCTCAAATCAGAAGCTTAGCTTTACCTACAAGAGCAGTGTGCAGCGCTCTGCCATCGGCTGTGCCCTGAGAGCTGGTTTGATGGACGCGAGGCGTCCTGACGCACGTTGGGTGTCAGTACCTGTTCTGCTCGAGGCTTTGGTGCTTTCTTGCCTGGAATCTGATCTTAGGCTGATGTATCTGAGCGCAGACACATGAGAGAAATTGCCCAGAGACGATGGGCTCTGCGATTTCTTTATTTATCCATGTCTCTGTCTGGTGGGAATGCTCCTCTCCTGATGCCTGCACATGGATCCCATTAGTGCTAATGTGCGCCAGTGTCGAGGCATCGCGGAGGAGAATCTATCCCTAATGTGCATGCAGAGAGCCTGATTAGCATGATGGATTGTAACAGTGTTTCTTTTGGCTTTGTAACCCCTGAAACAGGCAGGTTGAGTCACAGCTGTTTAGTAGATGAAATGCTCACTTCAGTAGTTTCTGAATTTACTGCATATCTAAGAGCTTGAGTGAAAGAAAATGTAATGCGAAATGAGCAAGAGGGAATGAGGAGAGAAATCTGGGTTCTCCATTTTCTCCTAAGAAATCACAGGTTTCCATTTTAAGAAATTCAGATATAAAATAGTAAGATAAATTTTAATTTGAGCAAGTTTCTTAATTTAGGTCTGCAAGTAAATTAACAGTCAGAGTAGATGCACATTTTTAAGGAACATTGATGGTAAAAAGATACCATGAGAAAAAAGCCTATTCTTAAATAAAAGTAAGAAACAAATATGTAAGCATAGATAATGGCAAAAGTAGGCCAATGTACTGCAAGCAGTTTACACATTATTTTACTTCTATCAAATTTTAGTTGAATTCTACTTTTGTTTTTAGTAAGCAGTGCTGTAATCAGTTGATTCTGTGGTTCTGTTGGGTTATTTGTATGTCTGGTGTCACTGCTCACCAAGTTTCAGAACGCTGCTTTAAAAATGTGTTTACAAGAGGAAAAGCAGCTTCGCCTCCTTCTGGGCCGTGTTGCTCTCCAAACACACTTTATTATGCTGTGCTTTTGATAAATGAATTTCTCTCACGTACTTTTTACTGGGATAACCCGGAGCACGGTTTGTAGTTGCATCTGTTACCAAGTGCTTTGCATAACGATTACAAAAATGATGCAGGTTGTGCATCTTTGAGTTGTTACTGCGCTGTTATTCATCTTCTTGCGCTCCCTCTGTCTACAGCAACTGAACCACCCCAATATAATTAAATATTTGGATTCTTTCATTGAAGACAATGAACTTAACATTGTCCTGGAGCTGGCAGATGCTGGTGATCTCTCCCAGATGATAAAGGTAAGGACCTGTTGATTCTGAGGGGCTGTGGGCACTCAGCCATTGGGCCAGGAGGCAGCTCTGTTCTGGTGCTCCTTGGGGTTTGCTCACCTGGAGGACGGTGGCAGGACCTGGGTGGATCAACTGTAGGGGTTGGAAGACACCTCTGGAGGTCCCCAGTCCAACCCCCCCCAAAGCAGAGGCTGCAGAGTGGGGTGGTGAGTGCATGCTGTTCCTTACGGCATTGATCTGTCCCGTTTCTGATGATGGGGACACTTGATTCTTGTTGGATTTGGTGTTCATGTAGCGTGTCTGCCACTCTGAAGACATTCAAGGCAGTGTATTGACTTTCCTCGCAACAGGGATTTGGGTTTGAGAAAATGTTTCAAGTTCTTGCTCTTCTCTTATGTTGCTCTCAGGAATACTTGTATCGCTGCAAACCAGCTTTAGTTAAGCTGTTACCACCTGCTTTTATATTTTCTTTGACATGTTAATCTTTAGACATACATCCCTTGTGAGAACAGATGTGTTATATCATGTTTGTTAGCACTCTCAACCTTCTCTCAGTGTTTTACCTGTTTTTTTGCCATCATTATTCTGTAATTATCATAAATGAATGTTTGGAAAGTTCTCCTCCTCCTTGTTGTCACAGTTAAAATATCTTATTAACAGATTTGTTTTCTTTGCCAGCAGAGCTATGAGGCACTAGGCCAAAGGCTGTCAAACAAGTTACACATTGAGTCCACAGTCAGTGGCTAGATTTACACTTCCCATGAAAATGTGCTCCGTCTCAGGGAAGTGCCTGGGGTGTGAGTGTGCTGGGCTGGGCCACGGCAGAGCAGACCCAGAGCCTCCTGTCATTCCTTACTGAGAGCTGAGAGCCTCACCTGCAGTTACCTGCAGCCAAGAGTGGAGCTTTATGAGGAATTCCAGATACCAGGTTGGGGCAGATCCCAGCACCAAGCTCCTCCCATGCTGACCTTTCCTCTTTTCCCAACAGCTCTTAGGAAACCTGCAGTTTGCCAAGGCCTTCGGTAGCAGGTGGGGCTGTGAGGGCAGAGTTAAGGCTGCTGTCTTCCTGGGCCTTGCAGGTCTTGTTCTTAAATCTTGTTCTTAAATCTGCAGGTCAGTTTGTCTTGTTCTTAAATCTTAGCTTACAAGAAGTTTTACCGACATAATTGTCAGAAATCATCATGAGAAATACTTGCTGCCCCCCCCAGTGTTCAGCTGTTAGTTTAAAACCTTTCTTACTGATGAATACATTTTTTCATCTGTCAGAATTGGCTGTTTAATTACCATAAAATTATTTTTGTGTCATATATGCAGACATGTTTTGTATCTGGAAGCAGCATAGCACACGTTCTCTCTGCCAGGGCTCCCGGTCCGGTCTGTTCTCCCACACCTTTGTCACACAAGTGGGGAGAATGCTCAGGGCCTTTCCTGAGTCGTAGAAGTCGCCTTTCAGTGATGCAAATATTTGAATTCAGATGTTTATTTGTTGTTGTTTTTTTAGATTGTTTTTTTAATAACTGAAATACCCACCAACTAACACCAGGAGGAAATTGAATTCTCCTCCTGAGCACAGTTGGAAGCAGAGTTGCTGAAGCCAGGTTTGCTGCCCGCTCCTCTGCAGCACCACCGCTCCCCCACCCCTGGGGAGTTCAGGCTGACGTGAGGATTTTCATGTTGGAGAGGCGGTGGGAGCAGCAGCAGCAGAGCTCTGAAGGTGCCAGAGTGATAAAAACAGGGACTGTCTTTGTCACGCCCCTGTTGCCTGCATTATTTATGAGGAATTGTAAAGCTGATGTAAGGGAGTGCTGCTGCATAACCCACTGGAGAGTTGGGGCTCTCTTGTAAATGTCAGACAAGTCTTATTGGACATGACATTCGGAAAATTATCGCTTGTGGTCTTGCATATCCACTCTTAAATACTTTACTGAAAATTAAATAATATTATCATGTATATAACACTTTATCCTTCACCCTCTGTAATTCCTCTGTGCTCTCTATCAAGTTTTGGTTTGAAACTGTTGCAAGCTGTCAGACTTGCTGCCTGGGGAATTGCACGGTTGTGCCCCTTCACAGCTGATGTGCAAAATAAAATTTGCCATTACTTGAGTCAAACACGAACCAGTAACAGCATCTCACATAAAATACAAAATGTGACAACGGACATCAGATGTCTGTACTGAGAGGAAAAAGCACAAGATGCAGAAAGGGGCAACAGCCAATTTCCTTCCTTTATTCTTGCTTCTGCATGCTGCTGACTGAAATTCTCAAGGGTATGATGCAAAAGAAATGTGGTTGTGGAGTGCTAGAAGGATGAACAGCGTTTCAGAGCTGGTTGTTATCCCGCAATACCTTATATATCAAAGGCTGAGGGTAAATCTTAAACCACTGCAAGTGTGTTGGAAGTGGATTTTGTTAGTGCTCCAGAGGAAGAACGTGCTCAGTGTGTAGCACAGGAAGAAGCAATGAGAAGTCGGGGACCAATAATTGGAAGTAGTGCAATTTTGGGAAGCATTGGAGGAGGCTGTGGTACTTTGCAGGATGTGCACAGCTGCAGTGCGGTCCTGAAATGGAGACACTGAAGGTGCATCATGTTTAGCCTTCACTGCAGCGTATGACTGGTTGTTTATCCTGTAATAAGTTACTGGGGAGGAAGAGTGAAGTGTTGGAAATAACCATTCCTGTGCTGCATTGCTTCTTATTCGTGCATCATCTTTATGATTATTTTATCTGAGAGTCGTCAGCACCCAGAGGTCCATAGAATGTGGACTCGGCTATGCTTGACGCTGCATAAATGCACGTAAAAACTGTCTCTTTCCAAACCCATGTGTGTCTTGATCAGCAGTGTCTTTGCATCTCACTGGAGATACCTCGGTTAATTTAATATTCCTATTATGAATGAAAAGGAATATATTATCCCACCTGATCATGGAAGAAATACGGATACTTTACTGATGCTATGGCCATCTTCTCAGAAGAGGAAACACATTTCTCTGTTGTTAATAGACTGTATGATAATGAATGTTTATGAGTTTTTTTTTTTTAATGATCTTTTGTTACTTAAGGCAAAATATTTGAGACATTTGTTGTTTTGAGGCATTAAATATGTTTTGCAAGGTAATTAAGGAGATTAATGCTGATTATAATTGGTGTCCATTCAAAAATGTCAAACCTATTTAAGCGTATTTTTCGTAATAGTTGTTAATTAGTGAACTGCATTGAAGTTTGCATACAGAGAGGAGTTAAAGCTAATCAGAAAAAAAGTCTGTTGCAGATCTGGGAGACATGAGCAACCGGCAGCTGATGAACGCGAGTCCAGGAACAAGTCAGATGTGTTGCTTTTGCACTGATCTTTTATTTATTTCCTTCCCCAGTATTTTAAGAAGCAGAAACGGTTAATCCCAGAAAGGACGGTGTGGAAATATTTTGTGCAGCTATGCAGTGCGGTTGAACACATGCACTCCCGCAGGGTGATGCACAGAGGTAACATTAATTCAGTCTCTTTTCACTGAATAATAATATAATGTTCCAATTAGTAAGCGCCTACATTCAAAAACAATTATGCTGATGTTCAGCCAATGCATGTTTAGAGAGGCTGGAGCTCGCAAGATGGATTTCTCCTCCTGTCTTTTTGCCTCATTGTTAAAGGATTCAGTCCGAAGTGAGTGTGCTATTAGGAAGATGAGCTGCTTTGTATTCCAGACACCGATATTGAGTAGAAGTGTCAAACATGCCATTAGAAAAGTGTCAGAAGTAAAATGCTGAGACTACTGGATACAGTGAGCTCTCTAAGAAATAGGCTTCATTATATGAGTTGTGACCTCAGAGAGTTTAGGAGAGTTTTCCTCTCCTGCAAGATTTTCTCAAGTATTGATACAAATACGTCCCACACTCTGATTGTCTGTTCTCTATTTCTGTTAATTATTTTGAATCTCTTGTCTTAGAACTTTTTGCTTTGAACTTCACAAAAAATTGCATTGCTGCTTTAGTGTAACTAAAATGCTTAGTGAAGGACCTGACCCAAGAGGTGCAGGTATGCAAAAGGCACGAATACCAGCCTCTGCTGCTTCTGCCGTTTCTTTCCTTCTTGGAAGCAGTGAACTCTTAACCAGTTTTTTCAGCTGTGTGATGTCATTTTTGCTCTCTTTCCACCCCTCGTGTTGCTGATCCGTACCTGAATTACTTGTACCGTAGGTAACAGAAATGTGGGATCCTGTGCATTTAGTCTTCTCTAACTGTGAGAAAAAGCCTCCCTAACCTTCAGCCTGATGTGACTTCTTGGGAAACCAGGGTTCTTGTGATTTCTACAGCACACAAGCAGAATGGGCTGTACGGAGCCCAGAATTTAAGTGTAGTAGGACAGTAATTTGTGGGTGGTGGGCAGTTTCATGCAGAAAATTGTTTGCTTCCTTTGGGGAACAACTCAGCGTTGCTTTGATTGATTACATCCGTTAAAGAGGTTGCTGCTGTGTGATGCTATTTCCAATCACTTTTCCTCACTGGTATTTTTTGTGTGTTGAGAAGTATGCTCTGTTGTGTGTGTATGGAACCTGAAGTTGTAAAAGACTCAGCCTGTCAAAGCTGCAAGGAAACACAGTTCTGTTCGAGTCTGTCCTGTACAGGCAATGCTCCAGGCTATGCTTCTATTGCAGTATTAGAACCAAATAACCTTTTGTGGCTTTGACCTTCTACCTTTTTCTTCTTGCAGACATAAAACCAGCCAACGTGTTTATAACAGCCACAGGGGTGGTGAAGCTGGGAGATCTTGGATTAGGCCGGTTTTTTAGTTCTAAAACCACTGCAGCACATTCCTTAGGTAAGATGATTCTTCTCATCAGTAAGCAAGTGCTACTGTGCAGTTGTCAACTGTGATGTTCAAAGGAAGTGGGGTCTACTGTCCTGTAATGACAACTTTGGTTTGGGGGGCACATACATTGTTTTCTCCTATTTCCTTTTTGAATAGTCTTGAAACAGATGGAGTATTCCTATAAAAATTCTTACTGTTTTTTTGCTTTAAAACTTGCACTTGATGGTTTTGTTGGTTTTGTTGGTTTTTTTCCTGGAATGTCTGGCCTGTTAAAGGTGTGATTTATAGCAAATGTAACAATTGCAGCTTTTCCACCCTAAATAGCATAGTTGTCTGTACTCTGCCTACTAGAATTAGATGTTGCACCACCACTGTTTTTTGGCAGATGCTGCTCAGCTGTCTTCCCCTGAGCAAGGACTGTGATGCTGTCTGAGGTGAGGGAGGTATTTAAGGTCCTCACAGCTTGTCTGTTCCAAAGAGGGACTTCACTTTGAAATTCAACTTCAGTTTAATAGATCCAAGTTTTCTTAATGCCTTCCATGTATCTGAAGGTTGTTTTCCTGCTCTGCTGTGTGTGCAGCTTTGTTTCTGCCGAAGCATAGTTTGCTTTCTCTACTTTCATTCTTGCTGAATTGTATGCTGCTTTCAGACTCTGATACTTATCTCTCTGAAATTTTATGCTATGCTATGCTATGCTTCGGTTCGTTTCAGGTTCTTGTTATCCACAAGGACAGCAGCATTCCCACAGTTAGTGGATATATTCAGCAGAACTTGGGCTGCTGGGTGTCTTGCAGGACATCACTGGAGGTAGCCTTCTGTTACAGTGGTGAACTGTTTTCTGACCAGATTTACATTTTTGAAGTGGTTTATTTCAGGCAGATTTCAGAGTTTGCTTATAAGCAAAGTTCATGTTGATGTAAAAGGTTGTAAGATATCTGTTGCTTATCTTTCCTTCCCTCAGAAGCCCACGGCCTTGTCATGGAATCAGAGTGATAGCAAGTTTTCTGGATAAGTCAATGGGAAAAAGCAAAAACAATTGTGAACAATATACATACCGTGTTTAAGTAACAGTGGTACCTTCCCATCTGTTTGCAGAGAAGTAACTTCTTCCACCATTTTAAAATTACAATTCCGATAAGATTTCTAGAAAGTTAGCTGTCCATAAAGCTGGCAAAGCAAGCTGATTTCTTACACAAATGAAGCTCCGTGCCTGTTCTTACAGGAGAAAGTAAAAGCTCTAGGAAACCAGAGTGGCCGTGTGCTTTTTCTCACATCCTGCAGAGAATTCTTAAAAAATGTCTTATGTTTCATGTTTTGTTCTGTCTACAAGTTGAAGTGCTTAGGACAAATCCTTTCCTTCAAGGAGAATGTGTTTCAGTGTGAATCAAGTGATAAATAGTGATCGTTTGTTAACGTGAAGGAACTATGTGGAAACTGCTTCATAAAAATTTTATTATTAGCATTAATTACAGAGCTGTGGAAAAGTGTACAGTATACAGAGTTCATTCTTTGGCTTACAGTATAAAATCTTTCACAGTTGTTAGTTGTGCCCTAAGTGCCTGCAGAGGAGAGGTGGCTCGTTTCCCGTTTGTGTTGACGTGTCTGTTGAGTCATGCCTGCTGTGCTCAGCAGAGGAGGGCCCTTGCTTCTCAGCACAGTCGGAGCTCCCACATGTAGGGCGCTCTGTTGATTTTTGGAACACAGAACTTCTTTGTTTCCCTGTTTGTCCTCACCCATTCGATTTCCTCCATTGATGCAACTCCTGCTCTGTTGTTTGTTTATATGAATGCAAACTTAGTTGAGTGTCGACACTGGGGCTTCTCAACGCACGAAGAAGGAAGATGTATGCCTTATTTTGTGTGCTTAGAAGAAGCTTATTCATTTCTCCAGTTAACTTTCATAAAAGGCTAGATTTCCTTTTGCATCAGCTTACCCTAGGATACATGCACTAGACTCACTAGGTTAAAATGAATCCTCTTCACGGAAAGTTATAAACCTCATCATCTGAACAGGCAAAAATGGGACTGTCTAATTACATGATGTTATCTAGTCTGACTGCTGTGCTTACTACATTAATAAGAATAAATTGGGGACAGGAAGCCATGTGCAGCCAGCTTCCCGGCCTGTGGCCATCACCAGGACTGCTTTCTGCTGTTGAGAGCTCCTTAGGAGGAGATGGGAAGAGATGGGAAGATTGGGCCTCCGCTTCCCCTCCTCGCCATCTGCATCCTGGGTGGGTGCAGAGCATTGCTGGGCAGCAGGGAGCAGATTTGGAGGCAGCGTGTGCTGTGTGGGGATGGGCAGACTGCCGCCCACCGTCCTTCAAGCGAAAGGAGCGTGTTTGCAGGCAGAGAAGGTATTGCATGCTCGAAGCTGTGTTTATTTGTTTATCATCCTCTTGCCAGGCACATAGGCTGTGTGGCAGCAGGAAAGTCTGATCCTAGTTTTGGCACGATGAGGACGTTTGTGGCAGTAGCCGTGAGGGATGGAGCACAGGCCGGGCTGAGTCGGGCGCTCAGTGCAGCCCCGTTGCCCCGGCAACCGGCCTGGGCCTCTGCTGGCTGCTGACCCATGAATCCAACGCAGGGCTGTGCGGATGGAGCCATGCATTTCTCTCTCCCTTGCATTTGCCAATACCGGGCTGCATGAAGGGGTGTTCGGCCACTCCATGACCCGTCTGACAGGTGAACCACCGGGCCACCGCGCTGGGGATGGGAGCTGTAATTAGAGCACGGAGCAGAATGAATGTCAGATGAATTACCAGGCAGCAGATCATATTTGTCAGGAAGGATTGCGTACATAAAAATTAAGTGACAGTACATGCCGGGGTAATGAGAGAAAAATGAAAGATTTGCCCATACACAGCTCAGGAAAGACTGGCGAGCCCTGTGTGTTGAGGGATGGCTGCTCTGGGAGCTGGGCACCTCCTGCCCACGGCCGCTCCTTTGCTGCATCCCGTCTTGTTCCCCCCACTGCCCACACTGTGTCCCCAGAGCAGCCTGTGGCCCTGCAGGCAGCGCCTGGTCCCAGCTGTGCTCCCCAGGCTGCTCTCCATCCTGCATGCTTCAGCACTCCCAGGGCCGGGACGTTCTGCTCTGCCCGGCTTTGTTGGCGGTGCCTGTTTGTGTCTGGTCTTTAATTTGGTGATCCCTGAGACGTGCATCCAGAGGCAGAACAGGCACGTTAGAATCGCCTCGTTGTTAGGTTTTGCTCTAAAGCCTAATTACTTAGGAATATTGTAAATGTTACAGTGTTATTATGAATAGGGAGCATTTAACATTGCATGGACTTTGGGAAATTTAACAATAAAAGGAAAGATTTTATTTTAGTAAGAGGATTAATGAATACAATAAATGCAATTTATACGGGAGAGTTCCATTAATTTTAAAATGAACCATTTTACTGTAGAACTGAGTAACGTGCTCATTCTTTTGCCAAATAGAGTTGGCTTACCCAAAGCTTCTGAAGGGCTTTGCATCTTGAAAAGCAAAAACCAGAATAGCCTTGTTTTGGAGCAGATGACTTGTGAATTGTTCTTGGACAAGAAGGAACTCAGAGCAGATTCTCCTTCTGGGACATGTGTAAGGCAAGCCTTCTGTGGGCTGCATGGGGTGCTGCTCGTCCTCCAGTTCCTTGTTGGATGTGCAGGTGAACGGGGAGCAAATGTGCAGTCATGAGAGGAACTCGTTTGTAAATAGGTTGTTTGTTGGTTTTTTCCTTTATTGTTATTGGCTTGCTGAGCCAGTTTGTCATCTGAAACAGAGTACGAGTACCCTGGGGGAGGGGGAAATTTGAGTGGTTTTTTTTGTGTTTTTGTTTTTGTTTTTTTTGAGAGATAGAGACACACACAAGAAATCTCCCTTATACTACAACAGACAATATTCCTTGCATCACATCTTGAGAAACTTTGGCTTTTGGATGTGTTCCTGAGGTGCTGTTTGTGTAAGAAACAATTGCTGCAGAGTTACTGCAGGTGTATTGCAGTACCTGCATGTGAGAGGTGTGACTGAAAGTCACCTCAGGTTGTGTCTGTAACTTTAAAAAAAAAATGAAAACAGAGAACTTAAATCATCAGAGCTCCTAGGAAGAGCTGAAATACTATTCAGAAAATGTTCTTTGTAGGAATAAGTAGATTAATTTTTGTTTTCCTTGAGACAATTAGCCTGGGTACCTCATTGCGGTTTGAAGTAATTTAAGGTACATTTCAATGCTTTTGCCTTCAGCTTCGTTTTTGTTTTGCTTGACATGCTCTGCCAGGGCTTGGGACACAGCCTGCCCATCTCCTGTCAGGCACTCACAAATCTTCAGTGCTTCTGCCACTGAGGCATGGCTGAAGCAGGGGGAGCAGTGGCTGAGATGCTCTTCTGTTTCCCTGAGCTGAGCTGCTCGGGTTTCGGTTGCTTCTTTTGTTTGTTCGCTTTATAATCCCAGTGTAAAGAGAAGCTGTATCATATCTAGTTTTTATTATTTAATATTTCTTCAGCAGTCGAAAGAAGCTTATTCTTGACAGCTGAGAACATGGGAAGCTTCGTGTCTTGTCACAGAAGGACTAGGGACAGATGAAGTCTCCTGCAAATAGGACAGAATACAAAAATTAATGCCTGAAAGTTGGTCTGATTCCCAAACCATTCTTTTACAAAAGTACCTGGAAGTATCTCCCAAGTCATGCAAACATTTGGCGACTGATACTTAAAAACCAGACAATTAAAATAATGCTGAGACTTCATGGGAGCCCATGAGCTTGTTTGGAGAGGTGAGGCAGGTGGGAGCAGTGCCCTTGCAAGCAGAACTGCTTCCCTGCATTATTTGCACCACCAGGTATTAAAACTTACTAAAATATTTTTCCTAATGTCATGGCATGTGTTATAATGTGTCTTGAGTATTAAAGTTAAGCTAGTTGCTTAGAAGATACTGTATTAGTATCTTTAAACTGTTTTTAACAACAGCGTTACTTGTGGATGGCATCAACTGCTTTTGAGCAGTTTTTTGTTTTTTTTTCATTTGTAATGAACACGTTTCAAAAATCACAAGTACTTCAAACCACGACAAAGTTTGTTTTGACAGGAGCAGAGCATCTCCGAAAGGAAGGAGTGCTTTAATCACCATTACCCCTTTGAGGCCCATGTTGTGCTCTGATATCTCTTGGTTTGAAACTGGGAATACTCTGTAAAGATACATAAAGGTCAGAACTTGTTAGGTTCTTTCATAGGCAGAACTGTGTTGCCTGCTGTGAGAAAGTAAAGCGGTAGGTAGAAAGCAAAACAATTTATCAGTTGGTTTTGTATTTTTTTAGCCAAATATGGCTGTGGATTTTGATTCGTGTCAGGAGATGCCTATGTCTTATAATGTTGTTTAAGAAGCATAGAGAGCCTGTGAGAAAAGTGGGAAATGTTCTGTGCTGGTTTGGATGTGCTGGCAGTGTGCCTGAGGTGTGGGAGAGCAGAGCTGCGAGAGACCAGGCTGTGCTGTGCTGCGTTCAGTGAGTGAGCCTCTTTGTGAGGGAGCAGCTGAAAAACGTGGGGCAGATTTTCTCTTATTTTTGCCTGTGAGCAGCCAAGTATAAATTTCATGGGGAGCATTGATCCCTGGCTAAACTGTGTTTGTGTGGGGGGAAGCTTTGTTTAGAAAATAAAATTGTGTACGTACAAACTCAGCCGCTGTCACTTTCGCAACAGAACTCCTCTGATCCTCTGATTCAAGCTGAAGAATGTTTTCAAGATCGTTGAGCAACATCTTCCCTGCGTACTGAGTGCCTTTCTGCATTGGAGGCGATGCAGCTCTGCACCTGGTGTTCCTGGGGCAGGTTTGGGAACTCAGTGCAGGGTATCCATGCTCGGTGGCTGCTGGAGCTGCACCATTATGTTTGTTTGGTTCAAACTCTGTGTCGGAGCAAAGCTGTGTGAGTTTTATTTCAGAAATAGCTTCTTTGCCTGTGTGTTTTCCTGGAGAAACAAGAGACTGCTCTTCATCTCACTCAGAATGATTAGCGCTTCCCTCCCTTGGATGTTGCACCGTAGCCATTCTGGTCCATGTGGGTGTTTTAGCTGCACACACAGTGCTCGGGGGGGGTAGGAAGAGATGTTGTTCTGAGATCTTTGAGGCAGGCTGATATTCAAGCAAAGTGCTTTGACTTCCAGGAATAGAATAGGAAGATGCTTGCTTAGTCATAATCTTCTCTATGGCTCTGCAACCTTTGTAACTTTAAAGGCATTACTCTAGCAGCTGGTGATTAATATTGAATCTGAACAATATTCTGTATTTTCAGCTGGGCGAATGCCAAAGAAAGTTTCTGATTAATGGTCTCCGATTAGACTATTCTTGTCAAATTGACTAATGTGATGCAATGGTGAGCCCTGACTGATTGCATTGGAAGTCTTGTGCGGTTTTCTAGAAGATGCTCATTACAGGAGATTCCCACGTAATGTTGGACAGGCCATAAAGAGAATTGGGCTTGTCAGTCTTTTATCATGACGGCTATTTAAAAATTAATGCATCAGTTCTGAAATGCGGAGCCCTGCTTGTTCATATATTTGCTGACAACACTACAGTAATGATAGGTAAATGTGCAAGGTAGACTTCATAAAATCAGATCAGGCACGGACTGCTCTGCAGGCCTATTAATATAATGGAACAGACTAATGCACAAAAAATGAAATCTGGACCATAACGCACTCATCCGTGTTACAAACCCTGTCATTTTGCTTTGATCGAAGGTTCTTTTAAGGCGTTATCTGAAACGACAACTTTAGCCTACCAAGCAGACCCCTGCTAACATGGCAGGCAGGACCGTAACTTTAGAGCCCACACGTTGTTATTTGCTCTGAGCTTGTCACGCAGTGACCCAGAATAACTGATAGCAAGAACAGCTACTGCTGGAGGCCAGCACTGGCACCACGTGCTATAGAGCACGCAGACGTTGGGCAGGGAGAGCTGGAATGGGCTCCATGCTCACTGCTGTGGCTCCGTGCTGCAGCCCTGCTCCTTTGCTTGCTGCTGGTCGTGGCAGGCTCTCTTCCATGTAGGTGCCTCTTCCATCTAGTCTTGTAGGTTTCTTTCAGATTTGAGAAGGGAAGAGGCACAGACTTAAAAGTTGGGATGTGACTTATGTGCTTGTGTCTAATGGAGACTTCCAAACCAAGAACTTCATATGACAGATTGCTCTATTTCTAAGGAGGAAAATGAATCAGTGCTCTAACCATGTGCAGTTCCTCTATGCAAATCTGTATGGGTGTCTATCAGTGAAATATCAGTGCCTGTCTCAATGGGCTCGTGGCCCATGTTTCGATCCTGTGGATGATGGGAATGCAACCAAGTTCTGGACTCTCCTGTTTATTTAATGCAGCGTGCTCTGAGCTGCAGGAGCCTGAGGTGATTTTGCTCGGGTCTCACGCCGATGGCGGCAGCACCCCGTGTTGCTGGGCCCTGTGTGCTCTCTGGGGGGGTTTTGCCTTTCAGGAGCTTTCCACTCCAGAAGTAATTTGTTTCCTTCTGTGTGCAAACCCCTGAGGAAAGCCGAGGAAGGTGGTGCAGCTCTCCCCCCTCTGCCTCCAGCGCCGCTGTTCATCTGCTCAGGAATCTTTCAGCTGTCTGCAGTCAGGGCTTTGGGTGAAGAAGTGGCAAACTGAAAGTTACAGGCAAAATAAACATTTGCCATCTTGCGTGAAAGGTCTCTAATTAAGAGATGGATGCTGAAAAAAAGAGAAAAAAAAAATTGACAGAGGATGGAAAAGCATGGGAAAGGAGAGAGCATAGGAAGTCCTTGGATGTTTTAATAAATGATGTATCTGAGGTTTATTTGATGTAGTTGAAACTGCCAGGATGTCTTGTATTTTCAGTACCACAACTGAAACTTATTTAGGATTTTAAAAAGAGCCTTTTTGAGGTAAGGAATTTATTAATAATTTCCTGCAAGTCCTGTCCAAAATGCTGTAGTAAATTTCTTGTGATAAAATACAGACTTTTGGAAGTACATGGAAATCCAACAGCTCCTAATGGGACTGGAGCTGGAGCAGCGTTTAAAAGTTTGGAAGTACTCTCTTGGTTCTTCCTGAAAGCTGTACCTGTCCTGTGTCAGGTTTGTCACTGGCACCTCCCTGCTCCAGCCAGCGGTCTCCCAAACTCTTAGCAGGGGCACCTCATCGTCTCGAGCTGGGCTGTCGTGCTGCTAGTGCAGGTATGGCAGCGGATGCTCAGTGGTGTGCTGTCCTGGGATCTTGTTGTGGCACTGTACATCCATGATGTGTATCTCACTGCTTCCTGTGCCGCTGAGTGAACCAAAGAACTGTCGTTTCATGGTGGCTCTGCCCATGGGAGACGCAGCGGTGGCTCAGGAGGAAGGAAAGCTTTCTTCAGATTTCTGAAATAGAAAAGGTGCTTTCAGCAATGTTCAGCAGTCATCAAGTGTTCATGTGGTTGTATTTTTGGTTCTAGATGAGAATATGCCTTTGAAAGCATGATTTCTTTCCAAAGTCTTGTGCCAGACTTCTCTAATGAGCTGTTTCTGCTAACCCTCATCCTTCAGCTAAGTCACAGTTCTGTACAATGCGGGTTGCGCCGTCTCTTTCTTGGATGGTAACTCCTCATTTGTTCGTTTTCTTTGCAGTGGGAACTCCATACTATATGTCCCCAGAAAGAATACATGAAAACGGCTATAACTTTAAATCCGATATCTGGTCTTTGGGCTGTTTGCTGTATGAAGTAAGTATCATCTTTTCCCATTTGTCTTAGCTCACGGTACAGTGAATCAGCAGTTGAGCAGGTCAAAGTTATTTTCTCTTATTTGTTCAGAAGCCTTATGAGAAATTAACTCTTCGTGTTCATGGCGTGATTTGTGAGCGTGAACAAGAAGGGAATTGTGGCACGCAGCGCTGGTGCAAAGTGGATGTGCTGGGTCACGGTGGGTGCTGAGGGTATGGGCACAAAGAAGCCAGTTTACTGTATTCATTCTTCCCACTGTGAGCAGAGCTGTAATTAGGGCAGCATATTCGTAGTTTCTCCTGAATGCCATTTGTTCTACAAATAGAAAATTCATTTGAATGTAAGCCACTGGTTTGTTTAATTGAATTCTGACTAATTGGAATATCTTAACTCTGAGAACTTTTGATAAAGAAAAGCAGAGTTTTTACGTAATGTGAAATCACCATTTCTGTGCCCTTGTCAGAGCTCAGCTGGGATGTTCCCCTGTTGCACGTCGTCCTACAGACAAAGGTGGGGTGGCAGAGCGGGCTCTCCTCGATTGAACTGCACGATTTGTAACTCCTTTTCCTAAAAGCCAGCTGGTTTTCTTTACCAGTACATGCATTTTAAAAAGAAGCACTAGGATTCTGTCACAGCACTCTGAGCTCTATGATTTTGTTTCTAGCAGGAGTCAGAACAACATTGTAGTCACTTATCGTTTTAAATGCATGTATCGTTTTGGAATTTAAGTGAAGGTAAAAGTCAGCATTTGTGAAGTTTTATCCTGGCCCTGAGGATGAGAAATCCTTGGCATGTTGAATTGTAAAGCTACAGCTCGCATTGGGAAATAAAGCTCTAAATGTCAGGGTCATGCTTTCCTGAGTTACTTGAAATTGTGTGAACTGATGAGATCTTGTTCCTCATTGCAATTTCGTAAACCGCACGGAATGAGAGAATAAACAGGAATGCAAATTGTTTTGCAACTGAGCAGCTATGAAGGCAATGGTAGTTAAGCATGTCATTCAGCTGCTTTAAAAACCTGCCTTTTGGGACGAGAGGGTATAAAGGTAAACGCTCGGATAATAGATCTCTTCCCGGCAGGAGTTCAGTGCTTGTCACTGTTATTTCCTTGTGGGAGGGATGTTTGTCTCAAAGAACAAACGGCTGTTTGTGCACGACTGAGTGCAGCAGCTCCATGGGTGCTGCCTTGTGGGCGCCGTGCGGCTCTGTGCAGATGGAGCAGCTCCACGGCCATCGCTGCCATCTCAGCCCGCGCTGTGAGCGCGTGGGGCAGCGGTGCAAAGGTGTTTATCAGAGGCACTTGGAGAGAAGAGGGAGCTTGAACTGCGTGTTTCTGTGCCTGTCCTCAGATTCTTCTGAGCTGTAGAGAAAGAATTCAGGAGTTTGGAAGCTGAAGCAACAGCGGCAAGCTGTAGAAAAGCTGATATTTTCAACAGAGGATGGCTTTGTGTGTAACACTTCTGATGAGATACTGGGATGAACTTCTGATGAAAACCAGGGTCATAAAACATAGCTGTGTGTACCTGGGTCTCGTGTAGCCATTTGAAAATGAGTGCAGAGACTCTTTTAAGTGGGAGCAAGGGGAAAGAACCTGAGCTTCAACCAAGTCAGTTACTGTTTTGAAGAATTCCAGCTTTGTGTCATTTATCAGACCTCACCAGGAGTTCCCAGCGCAGGGTGTTGAGTTGGGGACATGGGCTCTGCCACAATGTGTGAGGCTTAACCCAGGCTGCCAACAGAGAAGGGCCCACGTTGGGTACAAGGCATCCCTGAGACTGAGGGCACTGCTGGGGAAGGGACTCCAGATTTATGCAGAGAGAAATATTTAGCGTTGTGCTAAGATATGTTTTTGTTGCAGGCAATATGGTCCCCTTATGGCACGGTAGTCTTAGTACTCTCGTATTTCAAGGAGCTGAGTTAATTGCGTGCTGAACAGTAGCAGTACTGTAATAACGTGAAAGATTTGGCATGCAAAGCATTTTTAAATGTACTTCCTACGTAGGTAAGCCTTTACTTTGTGAGCAGGAGCTCGAGAGCTTGAGTATTCCAAGGACTGGACGGTTCCCAATTTTGTGCTCACCAGATAAGCAGCCACTTGACTTTTAAAACTTTTCAGATATTTGAAAGTGAAAAATCAAGTTCATGTATCTCTGAAAGGGCCTCCCCGCGCCCCCCCCCCCCCCACTAATTTCTTGTAATGAAAATCTTTTTCCATTTGGCTTAAAAGTAAGGAAGCAGTGTTTGTTTGGTTATGAGTCACTTCTGATATTTCTTCAGATCCGTTGTGCAGATAACTGCAGGGGATGCAGCGCACAAATTGCCGTCAGAGCTGTGCGTGTCCGCTGCAATCCCTCACATAACAGCGAGGGTTTGGGCCGCGATGGCAGACAGCACCGCTTAACTTTGACATTGGTAATCGCACAGTGATCGTTATTAAATCTTGTCAATACAGCAGTAAGTCTTCATCCCTCACTTCCTGTAGAAATCTGTCAGCAAGATCACTTCAGGGAATAAAAATAAGTTGTTAATTCCCAGAATGTAGCTGCAAGCAGTGACTTCAGTGGTTCTGGCAAGAGCATCAATTTAAACACCAACAATTCTGCATAGGAATTTTTTTAACCAGCCATCCTGCATGGTGGTCATTTCCAATGGAGATCTTGCTGTCCTTCAGTAATTGCTCTAATCAAAATGCCAGAAGCAAGCCCAAACAAAGGCACACACAGTGCTGTGCTGGTGGTTGGAGCTGTGTCAGCCAGAACGGGGGGACATCACTCCCAACGTAACCCCCTCTCTCTCCACTTCTGTGCAACTGATGGGGCAGTTTGCTGTCAGTCTCTAATTAGCAATTACAACTGTAACAGAAATGTGCTTTCACTTTTTTGCCCTCTATTTTGTGTGGAGGCAGTGGGCAGTGTGGCCCTGGGGCTCAGCTCCTGCCTGCCCTGCCGCTGTGCCACACTTCGTAGTTCAAAGAGCATCGTGTGGTGGCTGTTCTCCTGAAGCTCATGGTTTGGGGTTCGTTTGGACCTCCAGACCAAGAACCCGCAGTGTAGGTGATATTCTGTGCAGACATGCAGTTTCTTTCTGACACTTCAGTGTTAGACAAGCACCTCTCTGTACTGAGCTGGAAGTTCTTTCTCACCAGTAGCCTTCAGTTGTGCTCTCCGTGCTGTGTGCTTGGTCTGTTTACATCAGACATCTGTTGTGGGTTTGGAGTCACAAATCTGGATTAATAAAATAGAATGTAAAGGGGCTGAAGAGGAGAAGGTTCTCTGGTTGGGCTCCCAAATCTGCCTGGGACATTCTATCCGAAGCAGCAAATTTCCAAGAGGGGAGAGTGTTTGTTTTTGAGGTCCGTTTTTAAGGCAGAGCTGCATCACTCACATTTATAAGGTTCTTTTTATTCTAGGTAGCCAAATTCAAAATTAATCCACTTATTTCTTGTAGCGGTTGATTAAAAATTTACCAGTGATAGAGAGTAAATGCATTGGCAGTTCTGAGCATGGTAGTAACCGAGGAGGGCTGAAACCACGGCGTTATCAGGAACAGTAGAGCTGCCCTGTCAGAAGGTGACTGTTCGTATCAGAGGTGTTCACAGCTGCTGGTGTCTGACGGACTGCCCTGCAGCACAGGCATCCTATTTAATCCTATTTAAATTAAGAGAACATTTCTTCTGCATACTTGTGGAATTGCCCACTGACAGTGTCCCACATCTGCAGTGTTTTCAGCAGAAATAACCAGTGATGGGGAAGCACGAGGAGCTCGCTGAGTGCCGAGGCCCAGGGATGTGTGTGGTGTGGGGCTTTCAGCAGCTGGGCTGCTGCATGGGCTGGTGGAGCAGCAGCGTTGTTTGCTTGCCATCAGAGAACAGAATTTGCTCTTGCAAACCGTTAGTACTGAGGCTATTGCATCTTTACCGTTTCTGAAATGCTCTCTGTGTTTTTCTCTCCAGATGGCAGCTCTTCAGAGTCCTTTCTATGGAGATAAAATGAACCTGTTTTCTCTTTGCCAAAAAATAGAGCAATGTGACTACCCGCCTCTTCCAGCTGAACATTATTCTGAGAAGGTAAATTGGGAGCATTTGTGCAGGGGAAGTGGAGGGGTGTGGGGAAGAGCCTCCCTATCCCAGCTGCAGGGGTGGGGGAGTGCAGTGCTGCCCTGCAGCTGCCCGGGGAGCTGCTGAGCCTCTGAATATCAGCGCGCTGAAGTGAGGCAGAAAGGAAGATTTCTTAATGTGGTTTCTTAACATGGAGAGGATTTTGAGACTGAAAGTCTGTTACGTTGGCAAAAACCAACAATGAACCGTGGGAAAGCCCTCTCCTTTGCCTCCCTTTGCTTAAAATAACATACCGTGAAACCATGCTTAAATTTTTGTTCCTGTAGTTTCTTCTGCTTGCTACAGGGAGTCGTTTTTGTTTCTTCTTATTTTTTTTAAATGGGGAGAAGAGGAAAACGGTTTAATAATAAGGTAATCATCAATAAACCAAGCTGCATAAGGGGGATTTTTGAAGTCTGGGTTCTATGTATACGAAAGCGAAGGATGGAGAGCAGTAGCTGAACTGTATTTTAAGAAGCTGTGTTTAAAAAAACAAAATTGCAGGTACGCATTGCTTGCTCTGTGAGGTTGCACTTGGGCTGCACATGGTGGTTGTTTTTATGCAAGGCCTCTTGAGCTGGTTTTTTCCTGACGTTTTTTTTTTCCATGCTAAACCAGCTGTTTTTCTTACTTTCTCATTCAGTCGTTGGTGTCTCCTGTTGGAAAGGAAAAGGTTAACGTAATTGTAGATGTTGTTCTACGTTTTAAACTGTAGGCTGTGCAGGGCTGAGCTGCTGGGGCTGCAGTCTGCCTGCACCACACTGAGCTTCCCAGCTCCGACCCTGGGCACTCACAGCGTGGTGCTGCCCCATCCTCTGGGCTGCCGCACAGTTCACATTCGTTTTCTCCTGCTAAGGAACTCTTGCAAAAAGATAATTGAAGAAGTGTTGTGGAAAAGTGGATTATTTTTTCCCAAGCTGCTGTAGCAGCACGTCCCGGCTCTGTGCATTCACGTTTGCCGTGCTGCTGTAGTGTGCAGCTCAGGATCTGCCTGCTGGCAGCAAGAATTAGTGTAAGTTGACAGATGTGTTTCCTGTCTTTACAATTACTGTCTGTTTGCTTCCCTCTGGCAGTGCTAAAGAGTGTGTGTAGTGTAGTGATACAATCCGGGGTGAGAAGGATGGTTTAAAGCTCAAAGGCGCCAGGTCCCAGAGAACCAGACTCCAGATGGTGTTCATGCACTATTAACAGAATGCCTGACGAAGTCTGAGAGGGCTGTGCCTTTGGCTGTAGCTCTATGAGCTGCTGCTGCCTACATGAACCACAGAGAGCTCTGATTTCCTGAGTCTTGAACACGTCTCTGCCATGAACGCTGTTTGTTTTTTGCCGGTTTTAAAGGTTAGATTTTCAGATGCTTCTTGAGTACGGAACTGAAGGGGAGGTGGGTTGGTGTCTTCCAGCAGCTGAGCAGGGTGAGCCATTGGGTGGGAAAAAAGCGTGGCAGCGCCTTCCTGCAGCAGTAAGTTGCACCAGCAGGAGTCAGTGCTGCCAGGAGGTTGGCTGCTCCCATGTGGACGTGTTCATTTTCCTGAGGCTGATGGGGCAGATTCTCTGGGCCACTCCAGTATTGCCACTGGTGCAGGATTGGGAGTGGTGAGGGACAGCTGCCTCTCCATCCTCTTCCCAGGGCAGAGATGAGCATCAGCCAAATGAAGCTAGCAGAGTGCTTGGTGACGTGCCCCCAAACAAAGCCCTGCTGCAGGGGAGCTGCTGACCCTCGGGATGCTTTGCTTGCAGCACTGTTGTGAATGAACGGGACGAAGCATTAATTGAGGAATGCCCGCCTTTCAGTGATGGCCTCCTGGCTGTGGCCTTTTCTCCAGTCTGGATCTCATGATGGTCTGGAGGAGCTGAGACTGATTGGTTTTCTGTCTCAGAAACAAATGCGCTGGTAATTGTTGGCACCAGTTGGGGCTGCACGTCAAGGTCGGGTCTGGCAGTTCCTGCTGGGACGGCTTCAGGCCCGCGGCGACCCAGCGCTCGGGAGGCAGAGCTGTGGCCTCATTTGGGTACATTCAGTAATGCAGCTGAACTGTGTGCTTGATAGCTGTAGGGTCATGCTTTTAATTACCATTAAAATAATTGGCACTGTGGCTACTGAGAGGATGTGAGAAGATCAGAGGCTCAAGGCTGTTTCTCCCTATGCCTCGGGGGTACGAGCAGCTTTCAGTGTCTGTATAATTAAAAGCTACAATCTTTCATGTGCACAATAAAGAGGGTAGGGAGGTGGGGGGTACTTCAGCCCTTCTGCATTTTATTTATTAAACATAATCAATGACCAGTCTCTCCTTCACAGAGGTTCTCTAGGAAACACCGGGGTCTGACAGCCGCACTCGGGCATCCTGTGTCTTAAGATGTGTGTACAGATTAACTGTGATCCTTCCACAGAGGTGGGGTGCAACAGAAGCGTGCAGCACCAGCCTCAACAGCTGCACGATGAGCTCCCTGCTCCCATCTGGGGGAGCCCCACACCCGCTGCCAGTAAGGAACAAGCTGATCCATTTCTGTTCCAATGTCTTTCTGTCTTTCAGCTCCGGGAGCTGGTCAGCATGTGCATATATCCTGATCCAGATCAAAGACCCGACATTGGTTACGTGCACCAAATAGCAAAACAAATGCACGTTTGGACCTCCAGCACCTGAACCATCTGCAGACACTCTCAAAAGCCAGCACAGCTTAGTCTTACTTGAATTTTTTTTCTCAGATGAAACCGACTGGTGCCTAGTCAGCAAGTGAGGGGAGCACTCGTAGCAGGATGCTCCATTATTTCTGCAGGTTATTTGACAAGGACTCTTACAAGGTGGTCATGCTTTAAAGTGAAGATTCTGTGAGGTATTGCAAGTGATTTTTTTTTTAAGCCAATAAGATGTTACAGGTGTAGATCATTTAAGGGTCTTTTCTTAAACTGTCGTGTGTAATCTAGGATAGATGATATTAACCGGGGTGTCAGCGGTGGGCACTCCTCCTCTATCTTAACTGTAATGTGAAATATTGAAATAATTCCTTCAGTGAAATCACTTTATACTAATGTAAGAATTACAGTAGGTTTTGTGTCGTTTGTGTAACTGCTACTTCGCCTCTTCTGCAAATGGTTTATAGCAAATTTCAGTTTTTACTTTGTGTATTTTAAAGCATCCATTTATGTATTTTTATTAATTCCCTCCTTCAGATTTAGAATGGGGAGCGGTTTGGGGGGTGGGAGGGGGTAAAAATGCATTTATTTCATGACTTTTTTTTTAACTGAAAACTTAGAGTGAGTCTTTTGCTGATGCATTTAGCTGTTAATTCAGCCACTGAACTGAATTCAGTGTACAGCTGGGGAAGAAAACCCACAAATCCTGTGCAAACCACTCCACAGAAACGTGCTTCAGCAGGGCCTTTGTGAGCACCTGACTGTCACGACTTGAGCCTGCAGGTTGCTATAAAAGCAGTGTTTCTCTGCCCCAGCTGGATTTTTGGGAAGATGCTTGTACACGTTCAGTAGTGTGTTAGGTACCAGTAGGCAGAACTTTACACAAAGCAGTGTTTGAAACTCTTTGAGACATACAGAAACCAAGTCAGTCCAACGCTCTGGGTGGCCAATTCCACACCAGGATCAGCCCCGTCTACTTAACTGTGAAAGCTGATTTAGAATGTGAATTTTTATAAAAATCTCAAGCTGATTAGAGGGGGTCATCTTCTTAAATTAAAACTTTAAACCAACTAAATTCATTCATTGAATCAATGATTTGTTTCGTTACTGCCGATGAAAAACATTGCCTGCTTCAGGAGCAGCCCTGGGCAGTGTTTGCAGCGTGAGCCGGGGAGCAGAGCAGCTGCTGCAGTGTGGGAGCAGCTCTGCTGCGCTGATGCTGAGCTGCAGGCTGGGTGCTGCAGTCCCAGTGCAGCCTCTGCCTCTTTTGGTTTTCTTCAAGAAATGAATGCAAGCCTGAACTTTTTTTTTTCAGTAAGATTAGGGTTAGAGGGTTATTTACTCATATATGCTTTTAGTGGATTTTTTAACTTGATTTTTTCTACTTAAAGGAAAATTGCAGTGCCATCTTCAACTACTTTCCACCAAATTTTGCATATTTTTATAGGGTAGCAAGGAGAACTACTAATTGCTGTGAACTATGTTGGTATCATTAATGCAAGGTGCCATTTTATCGTGGCTTCTTAGCAGGAAGCTGAGTCTGCTGCTCTCCTGAGAGCCTGAGGAAATTCAAATCAGCACGAGAATGGAGGAGAGGCAGCACGTTGCTTCCCACATTCCCATGCCAACTTGTTTAATTTATAGCCATCTTCTTTAGCAGTTCTTAGGCATAAGTCTTCAGACCGTCACCTTTACACTGCAGGTTTCCTTTAAGCCATGGCAGCAGTGGGCCGGGCCGGCTGTGCTGTGCTGCTGGTAGTGGAGGTGGACCAGCAGAGGGGCTCTGCCTGCGGGGCACAGCTCAAAGTGCAGCGCCTCGAGCGCTCCGCTGTCGTGCTAGATAAAATTTATTAGTGCCTATAAGTAAATGTATTTCAAAAGGTAATTTTTTTTGCAATTGTGCATTTTTAGATAAATAAAAAAAAATGATTTACAAAATAAACACCTTTGTTTAAAAAAGAAAAAAAGGTTCAGTATTAAAGGGGAGAACATTAAAACATCGCTGCAAACAGGTGTGTGAGGTTTGCTAACAGCTTTGTGGGTGTGTGGGTACTGGATGGAATGGGGGACATCAGCTGCCAGCACTGGTCCTGATGGAAACCTCACCGGGGAACAGCGCAGCTGCAGGCTGCTGAGATGGAGGGCTGCACCACACAACCTTCTGAGGCTGAACGTAGCCTCAGAAACCCTCAAAAACCCTTTGAGATTTTCCTTATTAGGATGTAAATGTAAACACAAAATGAGTTTATCTCAAATAGGAGAACGAGCTCAGGGTTCTAGGATGCGGCCAAGTGGAAATTTGCAGAAAACTTCAGGTAAGTAACAAGACAGTTAAGGCTTTTCAGTTGTGTTTTTTTATAGTACTTAGAACATTTTATATGAGGTGGAGGCTGGATCTGCTCAGTAGCTTGTCCCTATCTACAGAAAACAGGGAAGAAGGGATGTAAAATCACAATACTGCTCTTAATACCCTGTGATAATTAAAGTAGGAGCAGTTCTGCACTAGCCCCATGTTTATAACAGCTAAGAATAGAAAAGCAGTAAAAGAAATGAGCACCTCATGAAACACTGGTGAAGAGAATGGTCAGACCCCTCTTTATTTATTCAGTGTGGGTCGCATGTTTCTCTCCGGGCAGGAAGGCTTCCAAAAGTGAAACACACCTCGTGTGTGTCCTCAGTGACACAGCAGCTGCATGTGATGCTCAGGAAGTATCCATGGTTTGTACAGTTTCATCCACCACCTCAATTTCCAGGTGTGCTACGTTCTCTGTGAGAACAGCAGTAGTTCCTCTCTCACACTTGTACCTGCCATACCTGGTAAATGAAAGCAGGAGGGTTAATCTGGGAGATGGTAATGCCTAGGAAAACTCATTTGAAAGGCCAGAACTGATTAGCTGGTCATGGTATGGAAGTTTCTTGCAGTAGTCTAAAGTGAGTGAGGCACGGCCGTTGCTGCAAAATCTAAACTGCTGGCAACAAGTGCCTCAGCTAACCTAGTATTTCTAAGACTCGCATCATTAAAGAAATAAGCTGGATTTCATTACTGGACTGGTCGTTCCTTGCTCAAAGAAAAAGCATATTTAATTCTTTTAGAATCATAGAATCACCAAGGTTGGAAAAGACCTAAAAGATCATCCAGTCCAACTGTTTGCCTATTCCCAATAGCTCCCACTAAACCATGTCCCTCAACACAACATCCAGCATTTTCAGCTCTAGATTAATTTTACTAATGTATTAACTTTGGGTTTCTGTGCAAACACAGCATTAAATACAAAGCCAGCCTGCAACCAAGCCACGTTTCAGAAATGTTGCTGCATCTGACTTAGCACTGCATGGCACAGCGAAGCCGTATGTGGCTCTGAAGGTGTAACACACTCTCCTGGCAGCCAGGAGTGGTAAGCCTCTGCTCAGTCCCAGATGTGAAACTTCACTCTCAAACTGCCTGAAATTCCAAAGGCAGTTTCTCAACGCAGTGGAGTTGACAGGCAATTAATTTCTTTCACTTACCTGTAGATGCCACTAAGCCTCTACTCACCTGCCAACTGCAGCCACTAATTTTATTTTCTTCATTAGCTGAAATTCAGCACACCCATGTAGCATCTGCTGACTGCCCAAATTCAGCATTATGGGAAACAGGAACTGCTGGGAGCAGCCTTGGACAATGCACAGCTTCAGAAATACCAACCTTTCGCCTTTTCTGTTGGCCACGTCATACGGACGGATGAAATCCAACTTGTTCTTGCTTATAACACAGATATCTATGTTACTGCCAGAGCCCAGATCATTGTATATGCCAGCTGCAATGGCATCCCTCACAAGCTGTTTGGCTTCTTCTTCCTGGACAAGTTAAGAAAGCTGTCATTGCACAAGTGTTGGCATTTCACAGAAATGTTTGTCCATGTGACAGTGGAAGCTGTGAGCTCTCACAACAGTAAATGAGCTAAGCACTACAGAGCTGAACAACAGCATACTGAGCAGTGGGCTGCCTTCCTCCTGCTCACCACCCACCTCTTTCCCCCTTTACAACAGACACATCCAATTTAGTAAAGACAGTCAAGGAAACAGGGTTTTTGTCTCAATTAATGGAGAAATTAAACGTGTGGGTTTTATCATCAGGGCTTCTGCACATATGTACAGGTTCCCTGTTGTGCCCCCTGTCACAGCTGCACACAAGGTAAAGCCCCATACTAGTTCAGTTACTGCCTTCCCCAGGTAGGGACGACTTGATCCTTTGCAGTACTAAAATTACTTACATGATTTTGGAATATTGCATGGTTTGCACAATACATTCTGCTCATCTTAACAGTAACAGTGCTGCAGGCAGCCTAGCTCCAGACTGAACTGCAGCCAGTAGTTCTAATTCCAGTCCTGAACACAAGTGCAGTGAATTTAGAGGCAGGTGCTGACCGAACCACACACAAAAGCTCCAAGATTCCCATTCTAACAGGTTTGTATCAGCTGCTTTCTTGTAAAAGTGCAACACAGCAGCTGAAATGCATTCTGGTGGGTTACCATTCTTGGTTTTCATGGTTTAGGAGCTGTCTACATAGTCTGAAACAGGACAGCACGTCCTGTTAGACAAACAGTCACATCCAGGTTAATGTCTTTTACAGAGAAGTATTTCAGAACCATCAAAACTGAGTTACAGTGTTGCAGAAGAGCTGTGGTCACTCTCCTGTCCCCAAAGGCCTCAGCCAAGTTCTAATGCTCCCCATAAGCTCTTTCCTGGCCCAGGCTGTTCCAGCTGCACTGGCTCCCTCTACAGCTCCCAAGGAAGGCTTTTCATTTCAAAAGCAACTTGCTGAAAGTCATAGGTCAGATGCAGCAGTATTTGAAATCGTCTGACAGCGCTATTGCACCCTTAATTTTACACTATAAGCGATGACTGCGAGCACAGGGGAATGCTGCAAAACCACCTTCCTATGGCATCTATTCAGCTGCCACAAAAGTGCTTGCAGTCACACGAAGGCAGCCCACCCCATCAGAGCACCAGCTGCTCGGTGCCCAGCAGCAGCCCAGGGGATGGGGCTGGGGGCTCAGGGCCTGGCTGTGCCTCCATCCCGTGCTGCAGCCCCACTCCCCTCAGCAGCTCCAGAGCACCAGAACACAGCACACTCACTGCCTCCAGCACAGCTTCTCTCCTGCACACATAAGGGACACACTGGCAGGCCACATGCAGACGTGCGCTGCGGGTGGCAGGGAGGCTGAATGCAGCCCACAAGCACAGAGCTCTGCTCCCAGCTTTACCCCATCACCTCCCACCTAACCCTAACCCACCATCCCAGTCATCATCTGCCCTCGGTGCAGAGCAGCACAGCAGCTGCCCCCACTCACCTCGACCAACCCAGCTCCTCCGTCTGCCTCATGTTAAAGGCCTCAGGCCTCAGCTCCGTGCACAGAGCAGCAGTGTCAGGGCACTGAGCCACAGGGCGCCCAGCAGCAGCACCCGGCTCAGCCTCAGCACCAGCCACTGCCAGCACATACCCACATTCTGCACCGGCTGCTATGCAAGAACGTTAATAGCAGCAGTGCTCCTCTGACAGCTTAATTAAGGTACTGGCTAGCAGT